TTAAACAAAAATATTCAATAAATATGATCATTTACCTTTCCTGATTTCCTTGCTTGCCTTTTCCATTCTTTTGAGATTTCTCATAATTCTGATTGTCGATTCTTTGTACTTTCTGTAAATGTATGATATTAACTTTGAAATATATTCATTAATTGATTAAATTAATTCAATTATTTAAATTTAAACATACTTTGGGTTTCTCTCTATGTTTAAATGTATTTCTTGCATCTTGTCCTTTAATGTTGTTATTCTTGAATCATCTTTGGGTTTTCTGATATTTCATTAAAAATATGTTTGAATTTACAATTTTGATTAGTAAATAAAAAAATGAACATATAACTTATATTACTATTGGTCATGAGCAAACTTTTTTGTACTGATTTTCAAATGAACATATAGTCTATCTAAATTGAACATTTAAGTTTTCTTACTTTTGGCCAAGACTATTCTTTACTGGATTGCTTTGCACTTTTGGTTGAACTTCTTCTTGCTTGCTGAAATCAATATTAAGAAATACTTTAAATAAAAAATGCACATAAATTGTACATAAAATATACTGTTATAAAAATGAACATTTATTTATATAAAATTGATCATTAGTATACCTTTCATCCCTACTCTCTTTGTCAGTTGTGTTATGTGTAGCAGACACACTCTTAGTTGTTGCATTAGTAGCAGGAATGTTCTCACTTTGTTCACTTAAAAAAAACAGAATTATTTTATATAATATGATATTAAAGTATGAACTAATTTATACAATGAAGAAGATAATTAGTTATTTTGTATAAAGCTTTTATACCTTATTGTTTGATTTGTCTCTGGTGGTCTTGATTTTGACATAACAAATTTCACTCGAACCTTTTTTTTTTCACTAAAATTTTAAGAATTACCTAATAAGTTTGGTATATATATACAATGTACAATAATTGAATGTAAAAACAATTATTTTATACATATAAACTTACTTGTTTAAAGTGTATCTTTCATAACTATTACCATATTCATTTTGTTCTATAACCTTCTTTAGAGTTAATGGTTCAGATTTCCCATCTCTAAATTGAAGCAAGTGTATCACTCTAAATGGCACATCACTACATTATAAATTAATTACATGACATTAGTTTGAATGCATATCACTGAAATGATTATTATCATATTTATATATGTGCATGATGATTTAATGAAATGTATATTTGTTATTTAAATCTCAATGAATACTCAAATGAACAAATATACATATATGATCATAATTATATCTATAAATGAACATTATGAGTATCAAATATGATCATATACAATGATGTTTCAATGAAATGTACTTTTGTTTTTAAATCTCAATAAATACTCATATGAACAAATATAAATATATGATCATAACTATATCTATAAATGAACATTATGAGTATCAAATATGATCATATACAAATAACATATTAAACAAAGATAAAACCAATTTTATCAAATACAACTAGCATATTAGACATGAACATAATATATTCTGTAAATGACTAATTACCTTGGTAGTGGAGACATTGTTAAATCCGTACCAATTGACTTGTCAATATCTTTTAAAAGTTCCGGATCTACAATTGGATCATTTTGGCGGTTTTTTTTCAATTTGTCTACTCTTGACTGAAGAGGTACATCATCATCATCGTCTCTGTTTTATTTAATAAATTGTTAATGTTTTAGTTATTTTCAGTAAAATCTTAGAACAATTACTACAATCGCAAAAATTTTTAACAAAAATTAGGTTTTACAAATAAATTCGCTCTATAATTTTCATCGCAAGAATATGAACAAATTAGGTTTTACAAAAGTTAGAGTTCATACATTTCTTCAGAAATTTTCAACAAATTACTCGTCTCTGAAGTATTCTTCTCCAAAATCATACTACAATTGCAAAAAATTGAACAAAAATTAGGTTTCACACATAAAATCGCACTATAATTGTCATCGAAAAAAAATGAACAAAATTACTTACTCTTTAGATACATTTTGCTCCGATTTTGCAGTTTCTTCTTTCATGTTCTTCTCTGTAGTGGTTTTTTGCAAAATCGCACTACAATCGCAACAAAATGAACAAAATTAAGGTTTCACACATAAAATTGCACTACAATCTCAAAAAATGAACAAAACTAACGAAATTACTTACTCTTTTTTTTGTGATTGTTTAATTTCATCTCGAATATCAGACATTTGAAGCAATTATGAAGTGTTTTGAAGCAATTTTGCAATAATTTGAAGAGAATTTCGTTCCGATTCGACGGTGTTGATGAGAGAGAAATTCTAGAGAAATGAAGAAGATGGTTTTTAGAGAGAGAATAATTTGAAATGGATAGTTTTTTTTTTTTTAATAATATATATGTGGGGTAGGGGAAGTTATTTCTAATTTACTGTGGTTAGTGGGAGTGAGTGGGGGTAGTTACTGTAGTTTGTGGGGGTAGGGGAAAAACGCAAACGCTGCGTTTTGTAGGGGGTGTAGGTTATGGTACCTACACTAGGGTGTAGTGTATACTAATTACTAAAAAGCAAGTATTGGGCTCCTCTCATTATTTGGGCCAAGTTTGGGCATCTACGTGTAATATAGTATTCGTAACGGGAAAAATATTGTTTGTTACGAATACTTATTTATTCGTAACGGGCAAAATAGTGCTTCTTACGAATACATTATATTCGTAACGGACACTATTTTGCCCGTTACGAATAAATAAGTATTCGTAACGGACATTATTTTGCCCGTTACGAATAAATAAGTATTCGTAACGGACACTATTTTGTCTGTTACGAATATCTTAATCGTAACGGGCAAAGCTTTGCCCGTTACAAATAGGCTGTTACGAATGAGATTTTTTCCACTAGTGTTTTTAGAAAAATATATTTGCAAGATTCCCAAATTTTGAAGAAGCTAGACAACTTTTGACATAGAAAACTTTAGAGAGAAAATGATGAAGGCGTGTGAGTGGCTACATTTATGTTTGCTGATGAATTTTTATTAAGCCTCTTTTTTGTTGTAACAGAATGATCGTTAATTATCCATAATCACCTTTGAAATAATATATATACATAATATTAAGTTGTGAAAGTGTCCTCCTTCAATTCAATTTTTTTTCCCCGAAAAAATGTACGTGTAGTACGTATATTTTTATCGCACTTAAAAGTTATAAAAATCTGGCACACTATTATGATACGGGCAGAATATCTAAGTGAGTAAAACGTTCTCTATCGATCGATCTTCATACTCGATTGCAAGATTTAACCTTATATAATCATATATATTCAATTCCTCATCCCCTAACTCCTATTCAAATCTAAAAATATAATAAGACCAACCAATAAAACTTGTGGATTTCAGAGTGGTACACTACACAAACGAACCACGTACAATAATGTCGGCACATAACAATAGATCTTAAATCTGAATGCATGGCATGGGTGTGAACGTGTGTTACTGTGATCTACTCATTTATAATCTCCATTTTTTTGTTAGTTTGAACAGATCTAATAATTTCCATTTTTAATGTTGTATTTTTAAATTAGGTCGATGTAATGTAAAGAATTTATTGGTTAATTAACTTAAAGTGATATAGATTCTTCCGCATTTGCATGCCACACGTGCAACTACCAAGATAAGTGCAAGTTTCGTGGATTGCCCGTACTGTACTCTTATTCTTGTTTCCAATTTTCTCTCTTACAATCTCGAGGTACCACAGTTTTTTTTTTTTTTTTTTGGGAGAATGATTCTTCAATTATCCTTGGCTCCTTGCAAAAATAACACAAGATAATGGGGTTTTACCTAGCTCATAAAATAGGTTTTGTGCACAAATCTAAAGTCTTAAGGAATGAGAATAAAAAAAAATATGTAATCGAATGGCTTAAACAGTACTAATGAGCATTAAAGTGGTGATCTAAATCCGTAACTAAATCAATCTTTCATTACTATATATTGAACTTTGATTAAGAAAAATGAGATAATTTGCTAAATTGAAAAAGAAGAGATAAAAACATAACAGGTAGGGTGATCTTGCCAATTGTGTATATGATGCAATGCTAGCAAGTTTGATAAGGTGATCTTGCCTATTGCTAGATATTCATGGCCTCACTATCTACTACTTGTTGGAAGAGGGCAATATGATAAGCTAGGCAAGGAGGTCCTTTGCTTACTTAACTTATTTGAATGTCATCAAGTTTAGTTGGGAAAAGTTTTTGGATGTCGTATATACTGATCAATTTTACGAAATTAAATCACATCAATCCCAAATACGATTCATCGAGATGAAAAGACACAAAAAATACTTATACATATGGCTCATCATTAAGTAGATCTAGAAAACACACTCTTATCTTAATAATATCAAATACAATGACCCAAGTCTTTATGGTTTTTCTGCTTTCCCTTCACATCATGCTTAAAATTCTACTTATACTTTAATGCTTTCTGTTGATCAACTCCCATCTCACTAAAATTGTCTTATCAACCCATTAAACTCACAAAAAATGGTTAAATAGGACAATCTAGTGCGTGGGACAGATGAGATGGAGAATTTATTAATTAGAAGGCTTTTTTGAGTTCCCCCCCCCCCCCTTGCCTCACTTGTTGAGCCAACTAAAATGATTTCACACTATCTTGCGGTCTTACCGCCATATTCTATCAACTCTTTTTATAAACAAAAATCAACCACTAAAATAGAGATAGTATCATTAAAAAAAATTGATTATGTACCAAATTAGTCATTTTCAAAACACATAACAAGCATTATTATAGTACTTTAATATATTATTTACTTTTCATAAACCAACTTTTTGGACATCAAATCATGAGGTTGAGCTAGCTTTGAAAGGTTAGTCACTACAACATTAAACCGTTGAACTAACATGTCATTAGTTAAGTTAGTAGATGATTAGTAAGGGTGAACCACTTTGTTTCCTTGATGTGGGGACATTTTTGATAACTCCTCTCAACTTCTACTTAAGGAAGATGCTTTATTTTACATACCCAATTTAATTATTTCCACCACCCTATTATTCCAAATTAATATACCATGTTTGAAGGGCAAGTTTATTATTTTAATTGACCAACTACCATAATACTTTTATATAAATATGCTCCATCTTCCCTCTTTTTAAGGTCTTTTTATTTCTTCTCTTCTATGGAGGTACCTCTTCTATCCCAAGCTTTCTTATTATTATTATTATTATTATTATTATTATTATTATTATTATTATTATTATTATTATTATTATTATTATTATTATTATTATTATTATTATTATTTTTTTTTTTTTTTTTTTTTTTTTTTTTTTTTTTTTTTTTTAATAACAAAAACAAAACCTATTCATTTATTTCATCGATCTTCTAAGCATTTCTTTTCATAAATCTTATAGTACGTACACATACTGGTGTACGTACTAAAATGATTTCATAAAATTTATTATTTCCATCTGCTAATTTTATGGTCATAAACTTTTTACTCGTATTTTTTTAAATGGGTATAGTATTATTAACTTTAATTATTTGTATTTTTGGGTGCAGAATAGGGAAAGGGGAATAGGGTGGCCATTAGGGCTAGGGAGCATGTACATGAGACTAAGACTTGTGGAGGGTTTGCCAGTTTCTTCAACATCAGATCGTGCAAGATCATCCTTTTGTTTTCCTTCAAGCAGTTTTTCTTCCTTCTCTTCTTCCAATCTTGATACTGAGGTATTTCTTTCTTTTACTTATTGGTTTCATGGATTAGGAAGAGGGTGGACTATGAAAAAATTTTAAAAAAAAATTATATACCAAAAAATGTTAATTTTTATATATCTTTTACTAAAATCTGAATATCTAATACGAGTATTATTTTATACATAATGTAGATCTAAGTTTGTAGTGTTTCAATGATATGAGTAGTGATACTAGTGAATGAATCAACTTCAGATTTTAAAGTTCTAGTTTTGTCACTAGCTACCATACCCAAAAAAAAAAAAAAAAAAAAAGGGGTTTGCAAAATATTTTGTATGAAATTTAAAAACGTTACACAATATTTTCAATTTTTATGCTTTATTTTGCATATTTTTCATATACGTTTGGATCAAGTTAAATTTCTTCATGCTTAAGGATATGTAAAATAAAGTGGCACATTTTTTTAAAGAAAAAAGTACTACATAAACATAAAGAGTCATGAAGGACATCAATTAGTAACATCAATGATATTTGATTCTCAAAAATTCAACTAAATTAGCTAGTATTCCGTATCACGTAGTGGCAGTGTGGCACAATTACGTACTGTTACCACTGACTTGTGTATATCCTTTAGAAACACCAAGAAGTTTCAATAATGGTTATGAATCTTATGACTAATAAAGTGAAAATATATGGATTAATTCTTTGTTTAGACAAATACTCAATGAGAAAGTACAACACCAAAGTTATTAATCTCTAATTATTTAATTAAGAGGTTTATTATAATGCATGAAATAGTGGACAACTATGTTATATATTGTGCCAATTGTGGTAGCTTACAAACCAAATTTCAATGTCAAAGTATTTAAACTTATTATTATTAGACTTTCATGTTCAATCTTCTACATACTTCTTTAATCTTGGATCATTTTCACTAATATATATGCAATCAATTCAACCAATGCAAAGCAGTCAACAGCATCATTCTTCCAAGACAACAGCAAGTCCTTAGGCCGTATAATCGGAATTAGACCACGCAACAGTAGATCAGAGTTATACTCGTCAAGGAATACAGCCGTGGATCGATCCGAAACAACACATAGATTGTCTAACAGAAGTTGTTCAGAGCATGGAGATGAATTAGATATAGAAATGTGCGATGGGATTTGCATCCCTCTATGTTTATATGCTAAGGTGAACAAGAATAAAGACGGTTCAAAGCGATGAACTAACTTTTTAGTAGGAGAACACATAAACACATACATTTTCTTTCGTTTTTATAGATGAAATTTGATAAACATACTACCATTGTTTACATGCTTGGATTAAGTGTACAATGTATATGCAAACAAAAGAAATACATGATTCTTTTCCTTCATATTATACAAATTAATGTAACTAAAATTTTAACATGTAGCAGTGATTTGAGATCGATTTATTTTTATACTTTTGTATGCAGAGATTAACAAAAGGCATATTTACATATGTTTGTTTTTTTTTTTTTTTTTTTTTTTTTTTTTTTTTTTTTTGAGGAATACATATGTACTCTTAAGTTGAGCTTTGATTTCATAATTTAAAACTGTACTACGTATATTCAAATAAACTTTCAACCATTTTTTTTTTTTTTTTACCAATGTGTAATTAACGATATATATATAGTCAAATTAGTTTATTAAAGACAATGAAAAACCTAATGAGTAATGATACACCTTTTGAAAAATGAACTAACTGGCTATATCAAATAATACTACAATCAAACTACGTAGTATTATGAAAATGAATATTTACTAATTAGAGCCTTTTGGATCAAATGGCAAAATGGGGGAGAATTTGGGCTTGATCATGCCAATATTATGGTTTGGACTTTGGGCTAAAAGTGAGGGATCAAATTCAATTTGAATTGGGACAAATAGTCACCATATTGTAACCTAAAATGCACGTTAGTTCAAATGTTGAATTGAGTTTGCACACATAAAAGTCTAATAAATTCATTAGCATAATTATAGAAGTTAAGAATTTATGCAAATAAAATAAGCATCTGTTTATCCGGATTGACAACAAAAATGGTCTGCATTTAGTGGGTTTATTTTTTATTTTTATTTATTATTTTTTTTTTTGAAAAAAAGTAGCATTCTAGCATAGGCTTTATTATTATAATAAATCAATCTCCACTAAAATAGTGATATTTTGTGGGAAAGAACCAATACGGACTCGTTCAGCGTTACTACTAGAATCCCACCGAGCTATATCATAAACTCATGATGATACTATATCATGAACTCATAATGGTATTTCAAATTAAGCATAGAGGTCTTGTTTATTCAATGATTTATTTGTCAAATATACCATTTTAAAATCATTTCAATTTAATTTAAATCAGTCGATAAAACACAAGTGATGACCCTAATATGTTGGGTCGGGTTGGAATTTGGAAGAAGTGCAACTACACTCTTACTATAACACAATCACCCCAAAAGCCCACACAAAACGAGCTTTTCACCCAAAACACCAAGCGGATGTTGAAAATCAACCAAAAACCTCAGTACAACCCTCAATCTTCCTTCAACAATGGCTTCTTTCGCAGCGGCAAGGTCAATCCTCCGCTCATCTACCGCCGCACGATCCGCCGCCCCACGTTTCTCCGCCGCTGCAAAACCAAAATCCAACCCATTTTCTCCCTCCTCATTCAACCTCCCAAAGCAAAAGACTCTCTCTGCCCCTCGCATTTTCAGGTAACAATTCACTCATTTAATCTTGTCAAATTTGATTTTTTTAGCATACCCAGAAAGATTTACTGCATTAATTTGATTGATTAATTGTTTTTGTAATCTGGGGTTGTTGATTTTTAAGGTCTCCTGTTGAATTGAGCTGCTGTGTTGAATCGTTGATGCCGTATCACACTGCTACTGCCTCTGCGCTGCTCAACTCCATGCTTTCTGCTGCGCCCCGAAGCGCTGGTTGGACTCCTGAGGGTATGATTTCTTTCTCCTCTTATTTCATTCTTTATTTGAATTTCGGGTAATTTGTATGACAACATTTTTGGATGAGTTTTATTGGATTTGGGGTTCCCCTTTGATTAGTTGATATTGCTGTGTTTGGTTTCTGAATGTATGTGCATAATACTTGTATATGTGTTATTGGGGGGTCAAATCTTAGCTGAAGTGTTGGGGAAATGCCCAAATGATGTGATAGACATGCTGAGGAGCTAGTAACCAAGCCTTAATTTTGGGTTCGTGAACTAGAGTAATTTATTAGTGATCTCGATCATCAAGATGTGTGGAAATGTTTCTGAATTATAAGTAAACCAAAAGGTAGAACAAAATTGCAGCATTCAATGTAATGCTGGTATTGCTAATAGGCTGATGATGGATAAGGGTTTGGAGATACGATGATCAAGTAGTTGGCTAGATTGGGTTAGCTATTGGATTACTGGGTTCTAGTCAAAATGATGGAGCGTTGGACTCTGAGTTTTTTGATGTGATGCTGAGATCCAAATCTTTCATATGACTGACAGTTAATTTTGATCACCAATGTTTCACTTATAGTGATAGGAGTTAGTTTGCCATATCAACTAGGTCTTGTTCTTAGCTAGGCGAGGCTCCAGTCACCTACGGAAGGCGCGCGACTCGTGGGCCTCAAAGTGCCTTTGGTAAGGCGCGCCTTTGCGCCTCAAGGAAAATAACTAAGATTTAAGTCATAAATTAAAGAATGATGGACATTTTTTCAAATTCAGACTACCTTAGCTTTAAATATATCATTATTTAATTTATTATGAATCGTTTTAATTGGTATTAAGTACTATCAAAGTAAAAAATAATTTGAAATAAATATATAAATACATGCACCTTGCATACAAAAGGTGCGCGCCTTCGCCTTGCACCTTTTAAAACTAAGGTCTTGTTTGATTCGATTCATGTGTTCATACTTTAGTGTATGTTTTTTATTATTAAAAATTATACTTATGTAGGTCACCTTAACTCTACCATCTTTCTCTAAAGGAACCATACCCTCTTTGCTCTTGTAGGGAAAGACCAGACTAGATGAAGAGCAAGCTAGCACAGATGGGAAGACTCGTGGGGTTGAATATTGTGAGTTTTGTGCTGCTTAAGTAGTGGAGTGTAAAACATTGTTACAGATCAAGAAAATGAATGACTAATGTATACAATTTCATCTCAAATGGCAATTATCATTTTTTTTTTTTTGGAATTGTGTTATGTAAAGGTGTAGGTCAGGTTTTATAAGTGTTTCAATCACCTTTAGCTTGACCATGGATATACCTGATTCCTTCAATTTGGAGTTTTGTACCTTAAATCTAGAAAATAGGTCATTAACATTACTTGCATGAAGAATAATCTCTTTGCTAGCTGACTACATTTCTTTGTATAACACATTAAAATTCAAGAATAAGTGACAATTTGAGCTTGGCAAAATCATCATATATTATTTTTTACTAGAATGTAACCAAAATTTGTGTTTCCAACATTATAGATCTTGTGTCTTTAGGTAGTTTTTAGCAGATCATCATCACCCTGCTGATCGCAAACATATGAAAGCTCGAGCTTGTTGATTGTTAATCTTTATTGCAATATGATATAAGAGTCATACTAATACGTCATATGCATTCAGATTGCAATGATGATGTATGATGAATATCAGATGGTCGTGCAAATTATAATGTACATGGGCTTTGTGCATTGGTGATATGCTAAAGGTTTTCAAGGACATTCGGAGAAGCCAGAGCTATTTCATCTTTGTTTTCATGCTAAACTACAAACTAGATGATTCTCGATTCAATCATAAATTTTGGAATTTGTATCTCAGACTCTTTAGAATCTCTATTATACCCCCTTGTTTGGTTCATTGTCCTTTGGTTATTGTGCTATTTCTTACTGTTTCATTAATATTCATTGTTGCTGTTGTGATTTCTGTGTTGCAACTCTTTTTTTTTTCCCCAGCTAGTTCCCTTAGAAATGAAAATTAGCAGAATTATCGTAAAAGGCAGAGATGATATACTTGAACACAATGTGGTGAAAAAGTTTTTGTCATGCAGAATATTTCATTTGATTAGGAATTTAGGATCTTGCACATCAATGTATCCTTATTTCCCTCTGTGAACACATATGTGACTTCTTTTGGTTCACCCATAGATGTGGTTGATAGATACTGTCACTGATTTGGAGTTTGAGGTGAGAGTGGTGACAACTGAGAAGTAACTGCTATTGCTTTGAGGTTATATGTCTTGTTAAGGCCTTGGTGATTGGGATGATGATCAACACACGGAATTTGTTCATTACAAGTTATTCTACCCATATTATTTTCTTCTGGTATTTACATCAACGGATCAACCTAGTAATGAATCTGAGCTATTAAATAAGATGTGTGTTGAGCTGAATTATAGTTTTGATTTTGTTTTGACTGAGCTACTAGATGTAGATGTGTGTTGGGCTGAATTATCTGATTTGTCGTCTGTACATATTGCTTTTGTTTTTTTTTTTCTGGCTCATCCAAAGAAAAACTATCTGTTTCCTGGTACTTGGATAGGGCAGTGCAATTAAGCTTGTTTTTTAAATTAGGCTGGAATGGGAATGCATGGGCAAAACTAAGGAACTCTGTATCCTATGTACAAATGCTTATCTTTGAGAATATAATTAAATAATTAATCAGGGGAAGTTTGCATAGTTTCATTAATGGTAAAATTTTCTGGTTTGTAGCTTAGATTTATGGCTGTGTATTAGTGGGTTCTAGGTCAAGAGAATAGAAAGACAGGATGTCATTTGATACAGTCATCAAGGTTAATGTAGGATTCTTCAGTTTTAGATGAAGCATTAGGGAAATGACATGATCTAACAGATGTGAGATGACCTCAAAGGCTCAAACACAGGAGGTAGAATAATGCTTCCCTTCCCACAGATTGCTGCTATCTGTTGCATTAAGGAAAGAGTTTGCTTTGTAAATCTACTGCAGTATAGTGGAGGGTAGTATTGATTCTGAAAAAGAAAATACTTGGACATAGTATATGGAAAAGTTTGGTGCAAAAGGAAATGGAGACCACAAGAGGTATAATTCCTCTTAGCTAGCTTCTGTGTTTTGAGGTTTTGAAGGCATGCAAGCCTCACATGGACTATGTATTTCATGCATGGCTGCTAAATAGCTTTTGCTGGATTTTATCGTAAATCTTAAGTTCATTCTAGGATTAGAATCTAAAACTCTACTGTAAGAACTAAAATGTTCATTGTCATTTTTTGCCTTTATTTGTCTGAAATTATTAGAATATATCCTATTCCCTTGAAATTTGACTTGGGCTTTCCTCTGTTTAGGGCCCTGATCACACCTCCCTTGGCTTGTTCTGGATGTTAATCTTGTCAATCTGAATGCTGGTGTAACAATATAATTGTTAAATGACTTCCATATCGTAGTCCTTTTACTTTTTGGACCATGTAAGTGAGTATATTTTTTCTTTCATTGTAGATGGATGATTTTTGTGTTGGCATGGTGGTGAATTGGCCGTAATTTCTTTGGATTGTGATTTGGACTTTGTATACCAGCTACTAGAGGCATTCCATTTCATGAAATATAAAGGTTGCTGAAGCTATTTAACTTCTGAGCAGGTTAACTCCGTCTGCTTTGTTACTTATCTAAGAACATTTTGTGTCCAACCGAATAAAATTATTGTACAATATAATTCCTTGCTTCTGATTTGATTCAATTATGTTAATGAGTGTTTCAGACTGGGGTCTGAGGTCTATTATGTTCCACATTTTATTGTACACTAGGACATTAGACAGTATTAATTTTTCTGGCTGTCCAGGATTCAAGAAATGAAAATGCAGGCTAACTTTGATCATGTGTGAATGTGCTCTAAAATGATCTTTGACCTGGTCTAGAAAATTGCATATGTCTAGACTCTAGAGTAGAATTTATGCCGTTGGCTTAAACTAGTCCATTGTTATGTAAATTATGCCATTGGCTTAAACTGTGGTAACTGAGAGGGTATCAGTGAACTAGTGAAGAATGAAGAGTGTTCATGAGTTCAGAACCTAGAAATGTGTACTTGGCAACTGAACCAAAAAATAGTCCAGAACTTGGACTAAGGGCCTGTTCTGATACGATTATTTTTAGTTCAGCTCAGCTCTAATAAGTTAAGTTTAATTTAGTTCAGCTCAGCTCTAATAAGTTAAGTTCAGTTTATTTCAGCTCAGCTCTAATAAGTTCAGTTCAGTCCAGCTCTAATAAGTTCAGTTTAACTCAGTTCAGTCAATCAGAACAGGCCCTAAGACCTTTGGATTGGCGGTCCTAAATAACAAACTTATGTGATTATGTTTGCTTATATGTGGGTTTCACCATCTAATAAACACTTGGAGGGGAAGCCGGGAAGGGGGGTTGGCCGCTGGGGGCGTAAATTATCAGAAATCTGGTTTGATCAAGGTGTTTGGTGGGTTTGGATTGGAATATAGCCTTAAAATAACGCTTTTCAACACCGCAAACAGATTAGTTTCTTATGGTTCAGACCATTATCTCAATCTGATATGAGCATGGTGTTTTGCGGGTTTAAATCAGACTAAAACCTACTCCGTAAAATACAACATATTTCAACAATCACAACATAATAATCAATGTCAATCCTAGTGAAGTTTATAAAATTTCTTTTTAGAAAATAGGGGGAGTTAGGGCTGTTAGGCCATGTTTACCTGAGTAAAATAATTTGGATTTAGCAAAAATAATTTCAATTTAGTAAAAACAAGTTCAATAATTTTAGTTTAGTAAAAATATGATAATTTTAATTTAATAAAAATAATTTTACTTTAGTAATTTCAGTGTAGCAAAAATAAGGTAAAGGGAAAAATAAGGTAAAGGGAGGAGATCTTAATTAGTTAAATAATAGTTATATTATGCTATTTGTATTTGAAAATTGGAATAATAGGCGATATGGATACGTGTATCCTGCGAAGACTTTGAGCGGATAAGTGCATCCAAAAAAGGACTAATTGGCCACATTTAATTTATGTTTCCTAGTAGGTCTGAATTTTGATATTTATTAAGTCACCTAATTTTATTGAGGACAATCACGTTTGCACATTGTGAGGTTAAGACTCAAGAGAATGTAGTTGTGTAAATTACTCCATTTCTGTGAAATTGGGTCTTTATTGACCCACAAGTTAGAATTGGATCTTATCTGATGCAGAAATCAATGTTGTACTTCAATTCTAGAAGGTGAATGGTAGCCATTAACTTTTTTTTTTTTTGAAGCCATGGTAGCCATTAACTAATCATAATCAAATACTCGTACTACATGTGATTTTTTTTTTTTAAGTAAAAACTAGTTTGTGACTTGAACAATGCTTCGGGTTTATATTTAAACACAAAATGAAAAAATTACCTTACTTTTAGTTAAACTAGGTTAGATCTCGTGTCATACACGATTTTTTACTTTTCGTTACGGAGTATTAATTTAAAACTATATTTAAATATAAAAAATTATTTGGTCCATAATCTATTTTTATTTTATTTTATCTCAAATCAAGCAACTTTAACTATTATTTTTTAAAATATATATTCAAACTTTCTGCAATTTTTACTTAAAACAACTAGTGAGTAGCTCGCGCTTTGTTTTGGGTACCTCCGGGGGACTGGACTCCACCAAGGGGTTCGGTTCTTTCTCTCACGTAATTTCGCCCGCTCGTTCCACTTCCATGCCGGAGCAGTATGAGGATCGGTATCCCTGAGAGGAGCAAAGTGAAAAGGTAGGGATTTAGAGTTCCGTGCTCTAGGGCTTTGACTTATAATAAAGAAGGAGAACTTGGAAATCGCTGGAGAAATCTTTCCTAGGCTGCTTTCCACCGTTCAAACTATCCGCAATCCCAACCGGTTCTAGATATTCTGGAGGTGGAGACTTCTACCCCGGCCAAGCAACCAAAGCCGGGGACCTAGGTGAGAATAGTGAAAGAAAGAGAAGAAGCGGGGCTACTATTGTAGACGTGCAATCGATAATTTTTTTTAAGTCTTTTTAAAATTGTAGTTGTCATGGTCAAACTAAAATTAAGTTTTTTGTTTAGTATATTCTATTTAATTAAACCTTGTGGTTTGCACTTATATAATTTTTTTTACATTTTAATAACATATATATTTGATAATTGGCTAAGACGGTGAAATGGTTATTGTTGGTATACGAGGTGGAGGGTTGGATCCTCAAATGAATTGTTGGTATCCTTGAATCCTTGATAGCCCACATTTCCAAGTTCCAACATAGAAAAAGAGAGACGTGTCCTCCTAGCATAAGGGGAAACAATGATTTGTTTCATCAGAGAATAATATATACATGACTAATAAAAATAACTATCTATGAATTACATTACAAAGTTATAGATAACAAAATATTATTGCATAATATTTTATTTTTTTGACAACGACAAATCTCCAAAAAAACTAAACAATATAGCTATGTAAGTTGACTCTACAACTATTCGCTATGTTATGTGCCTTAGCAACCTGATCCTTCTCAACTTTCCATATGATGCAAGTTCTAAACCTTCGTCCCACATCTAAAAGATCTTGGACCGTCCACATCATCCGCATTTCCCTCCTCTTCGGTTGTTGGACTAGATTGACCAGTGCCAATGAGTCAGTGTATAAAAGAATCCTTTGGTACCCTTTCGCCTCCGCCCACTTTAGAGCATGTACACATGCCATAACTTCCGTTTGTAGAGAAGAGTATGCTTTGCCATAATGTCCTCCCCCTTCCATAAAGGCTGTCTGGTCTTTCGAGTATGCCCATCCTGATCCCGCTATTCTAGTCCGCTTTTGCCAAGAGCCATCAGCCATTATAGTCACTTCCAATCTAGCATCTGTGGGTATGTTATTTCTTCCTTTTCGGACCCAATGTTTATTCTTTGAAAACCCGGGGGCGCGCCGTTGTTATTGTTATCCTTTTTCCTTACATCCTCCCCTTCCTCCTTCGTTTTCCAAACTGAGAAATTATGCATCGCTGTATTATAGTTCCTGAACAGGTCCGCAAGATAACCACCCTGATTACTGAATACCCTCCCATTTCTAGTCAGCCAAAGACTCCAAAGAACGCCTATGAACATTCCTATTCGTTCACTCTTCTTTCCATCCTCGCTATGATAAAGCATGATATAATTCTGAATCCATTGTCCAAACGGAGTAGATTCGTCATTTTCAGACAAGATATTCAGGGAACAATTCTTCCAAGCATACCTCGCAAAAGAACACATCCTAAAAAGATGTTGTAGGTCTTCCTCTGTCGTACCACAAGAATCGCAATAGTCCTCAATTTCTATTCCTCTTTTGACTAGGTTCGACTTGACTGCCATCCCATTCATCACTAGCTTCCACAAAAACAAGCTCCATTTCGGTGGAATATTAAGCTTCCAAATTATCCTGCAAAATACATTGTCAGCTATAGCATCCTATTGCAAAGAAAAAGTACTCATTAGGAAAGCATATCCCGTTTTAACAGTGTAGTTGCCAGAGGGATACCCCCCCCAATAAAGCACATCCTTCTCCTCATTCGAAGGCAGCTCCATTTCCAAAATTTCCTGTGCGATACTCCACTCAAACCTTTCCCTTATGATTGTCGTATTCCAAGTTCTCGTATCTGGAGAGATCAAGTCCTTCACCCTTCCTGACCTAATCCCCCGTAGCAACTGATTTGATTTAAAGACCGGTGTTAATCCTTGTAACCATCCCATATTTCCAACCTTCACCATTACCTATCTTCCAATGATAACCTTTGACCACTTTATTCGCCACATTGAATAAACCCCGTCTACCCCAAGAAGTATTACCACGAAAACAAGTACTCGGCTCCCCCATACAAAGAGGGCATTCATGAATTGGATCAATACAATGAGCCACTAACAACTGAGGGTTACAATGCATACGTGTCACCTGCTTAAACAAAAGAGTATCGTTTAGATACACCATCGATCTTATACCTAGGCCACCCATGCCCTTTGGTCTTTGAATAATATCCCTTTTAACCCATTGCATTCCCTTGTCTCCTCTCGATCCCCACCAAAATCTAGCAATTAAAGAGTCAGTCCTATTCGTAATCGAGGCTGGCAACTTGAAGCATTTCATCACATGTGAAGGAATACTAATCAAAACAGTGTTTATCAAGATTAGTTTAACCGATTGTGACAAGTTGAGAGCCGCCCAAGAAAGAATTTGAGCCGCTACCTTGTCCACAAAGTACTTAAAGGCATTCATCTTCCTTGCTGTGAAGTCAATTGGCGCACCCAAGTGTCTATCCAAAACTTGGACTTGGCCAACACTCAAAATCGCCTTGAGATCCTCCACTTCTTCTACCTTTTCTAGTTTGCTAAATTTAACAAAAGATTTATTTAAATTCAATTGTTGCCCCGAAATGTCCCCAAATCTCTCAAGAATATTCACCACATTTGTGCAGGAGTCTGTGTTCGCATGAAAAAACACCATTGCATCATCTGCAAAAAACAAATGTGAAATAGAAGGCGACCGTCGTGTTACCCAAAGCCCTTTAATCATGTTGATATCTTCTGCCATTGAAAACATTCGAGATAGAACATCCATGCAGAATAAGAAAAGATACGGAGATAGGGGATCCCCCTGCCTCAAACCACACTCCGATTTAAACATCTCCGAAACTTGACCATTAATGAGTGTCTTGTATGAGACAGTGGAGATGCATTCTGAACCCATTGTATCCGAATTTCAGGAAAGCCATACGCCTTAAGAACCCGTAATAGAAAAGTCCAATTCACCCGGTCATAAGCCTTAGACATATCCAATTTAATCACTGCTTTAGTTAACTTCCCATTGCTTGTATTAACCAGATGCAACAACTCATGACTCAGCATCACATTATCCTCAATATATCTTCCTGGCATAAAAGCATGTTGACGTTCCGAAATTAGGCAAGGCAAGAGCGATTTCATTCTGTTAACCATGCATTTAGCTATGCATTTATAGATAGTGTTGCATAAGCTAATCGGTTGAAATTGTGATGCCAATTCTGGGCACTCCACCTTTGGAATCATAACAAGAAGTGAAGCATTAAATTCTTTTAAAAGATACCCCGTATTGAAAAAAGCTTGTACCGACTGTACAACTGAGTGGCCTACCTCCTCCCAGTGCTGATGGAAAAATTCTGCTATATAGCCATCCGGTCTTGGCGCCTTTAAATTGTGAATAGAGAACATTGCTTTTCGTATTTCTTGATACGAAAACGGACGAATTAAAGAAGATGCATCCTCAGGTGCTATAGAAGGAAGCTCCAGTTCCCGCAGTACCAAATCAACCTTTTCTTCGACAATATCCTTCGACTCCATCGGTGGATTATAAACTTCCCTCAAAGTGTCCCTTATCAGAATTTCCAAGTTTTCCTGTCCTTGCACCCAAACTTCCTCACTGTCCTCAAAGTGACAATCTCCCGCCGTTGTTTTCTTTGCTTCACTCTACCATACATCATTCTCGAAGAAATATCACCCTCCTTAATCCACCTATCCTTCATGCGTGGTTGCCAATACTTAAATTCTAAGCTACTCTGACTGATAGTCCCATTAATCGTTGTGACATAGCTATTACCCTACGCCAAAGTAGTGATATCATCTCCTTGGTCTAGGAGCTCAGTAGAGTACTTCCTCCAATTTATTCCCCACACTTTTTTATTATCCAAACACCATTTTTTGATTTTTTTCCCGCAACCATTTCGACCTTTGTTGAAACTTGTACATTACTGACCCCGAACACTGAATGTCCCATGCTTCACCAATAAAAGCCTTAATCTCCGGGAAAACCAAACACCATGTCTCAATTTGGTATGGTCTATTCGACTTAGTTAACTTAGTATCCAAGTCATAAATAATTGTTGCATGATCCGAAACCGTAATAGGTTCATGAATAATTTTCCCATCCGGAAAATCATTAAACCATTGTGAAGAAGAATAAGCCCTATCCAAACGCTCCATGATCAACTCCGCTCCTAATCTTTTGTTTGTCCAAGTGTAACGAGGCCCCGTAAAAGGAACCTCTAAAAGATTAGTTTGGAATCTCCAATCCAAAAACGCATCCAAACCCTTTATCAAAGATGCCCCCCCCTAATTTATCACTATAATACTCTAATTGGTTTATATCTCCCATAACCAATACATTCGGAGTATTAGAAATAAGTCTCGAAATTTCCTCCCAAACATTCGGTCTATCTTCGACTTTCGACGCTCCGTACAAAAACAAAATATGCCGACTACTTCCATTAATGTCCACAACATTACAAAAGATGAAATTTGAGGAAGAAGCAACACAAAAGACATTCCCCAAATACCAACTAAACAAGGCTAAGCCCCCCTTTGTCCCCTCCGAGTCTACTCCATAAGAAAAACTTGGAGTAAACTTTATTACTAAACTACTAACATCACTAAACAACATTTTAGTTTCGGAAATAAACATAAAAGTAGGCAACTTAGTAGCTAACAACCACACTAAATAAGGATGTGTAGGGGAAAGTGTGTCGTTTAAGCCCTTACAATTCCAAGTGATAACTCTCAATGATCACTAGGGGGTTGTTTCGGTGCAGCCACCTCACCAACAAACTCATCAGAATTTTCAGCATCATCCTTGTCTTCTCCACCCATCTCCACCTCTATATCACTATCAAATGCATGGAAGCTAGAGGTAACCTCCTCACTCCGTTGCTTCTTAATTGGACTAAAGTGACTTGAGGATGAAGACTGTTGTCTCTTCTTCCCCAAAATACCAGAGAGTGGGGGTTTGATGCGCACCCCCACTGCCTCGCCAAGTCAACATCACTAATGGCCTTAGATTTGAACTCAAAATTGCCATTCTTATCTCTTTGCCAAACATTAAATCCTCCCTTATCAGCCCATCGATTAAGAGATTTCAAGCGCTTCCGTTCCAACCATCCCAAATCATATGATGCCTCTCGCACCGAATCATTGTCACACGACTGCGATGGAGCTCTATCAATTGTACGTGGCCTTTTTGGAGAACTCCTCCTCTCATCTTCCATAAGCACATTCGACACATCAATTGAACGAATTGGTGACATTGGTGAGTTTGGTGGATCGTACTTCGTCATTGGCAGATGCACCAAATTTGTGGGAAAGGTGTTTGGCGAATCAGGGAGGTATAGCGATCTTGTAGCTGTCGGATAAATCCTCCTTGACGTTGCCCTGTATACAGTCATAGCTCGCAAGAATGCCCGTTCTGCTTCCACAAAATTCAGCTGATTATTATTTGAAAAATCAGCATAAGACATAGAATTTACCTCCTCATCGTTGTCTTCGATATTCAATTGAGGTTGCACGGTGTTCTGCTGCTGCTTAGTCGTTGGCTCAATTGGTTGCTCCGGACTCATGCTTATCTGTGCTATAAGCTGTCGGTGAAGATCTGGATCAAAGCCCACTGGATAAACTCCTATTGCACTCGACTCTTCATTAAACTGAACCGGCTCCAGCGGTGGAAAGACCCACTCAGAAATTCCCAAAGTCTGGAATAGAGTTCGAGGATTTTCAACACCTCTCCCCCTATTCACAGCTGCAGTCGAATAATATTGCATAATATTGTATAAAAAATAAATATCTTTGATTGTGTACAAATGGAATATACTTATCAAATAGGAAATGTATAATATTATTGTATTTTGTATTAAAAACTTTTCTATGAAGCTTTGACAAAAAAATAAAAAGTTAAAAAAAAAACCTTTTGGATGGAAAATTTTTAATTATGAAATGACATGTGTTATTCCTGTTTCGCCTTTAGTATAAAATTATAGATTAAATTCCGATTGGTTAAGTTAATTGATTGTGAATTTATGACATGACTCTAAGTCTCTTGAATTATGCAATTATGGTTTACAATTTCTTAAAAAAAAATCAAAACTATTTATGAATTTTTTTTTTACTTTAATGATGAATTCCAAATATTTTTGTTATTGATTCCATATGAGACTATTATTGGAAGGGAGGGAGTAATAAAACGTAAAAACAAAATTAGAAATCCTCAAATTCTCAAAAAAAAAAAAAAAAGAAAAAAAAAGAACGTAGGACCACAATGGCACAACATATAAACGCAAAACACACGCACAGCTTGAAAAACACATCACCCCGAATCTAAGCCTCCCTCTCGCATTCTAACACGCTCCCACCACCCACCACTCATTTTGTCAATTTTGCCGTTTACTAATCTCACTATTTTTATTAATTAACCAACATTTTTTTATCATTTATTACATACATCTTCCCCATAATTAATCATCTTTTCTTTCTATAAAAAAAGTTCGGTTTTTTCTCTGACATTTTTTCTGCCTTCCATTGACTCTCTCTTTCTCTCTCTTCAAAATCAAAGCTTTTCATCAATGGATTCTGAGTTTTGGACCACCCGTTTAGCCGCTGCAAAGCGGCAGTTTAATATGCAACACCACCATAATCACCAACTTCATCATAACTCTTCTCATCTTGGTTTGTTTGTTTGTTTCTTTTTTTTTTTTAATTAGTTTTTGTTGTTTCCTGTGTTTTAGATCTGAAAAAATGTATTTGTTGTTGTTAATTTGGTTGATGGTTTCTGGGTTTTTGTTGATTAATGATTTGATGAAATGGGTATGTTTTAGATCGGTTGAATATGGATGATTTTGAGATGGAAGATGAAATTCGACCCGATATTCCATGCCCGTATTGTTATGAAGAATTTGATATTGGTTCTCTTTGTACACATTTGGATGATGAACACTCTTGCGAGTCTCGAGCTACCGTATGTTTTCTCTCTCTTCACCTTTGTAATGTTAAGTTTTATGAGGTTTTGGTAAAATGGGATTTTAGATTTGTTTTTTTTTTATGTTTATATAATGGTAAAGATGAAAAGTTGGAAACTTTTGACATTTTGTTATAAATTTCTGCATTTTTGTTTATTTTATTTTATTGTATTTTGCATTTTTTGATGGGTTTATTTGGTTTTTATGATACATATGAGATATATTTTGATTATGTTATTGTTTCAATTTTTAATATTGGTGGTGGTGATAAATAGTTTATAATTAATGTTTAGAAAGTTTTATGATGGTGGAAGTTAGAATATATGTGCACCCACCTATGGATGTGGATTGATAGAACAGTTCATCAAATGTTTATGATGGAATTAAAGTGATGATCTATAGAATATGTTGGAGGTCAAATGGTCAATGCCCCTTTCCTACATTATAGGCTTGATGATTTGTGGGTTGAGGAATAGGTCGAGCCATGAAAGCAGAAGGAGTATGAGTTGGGTTAAACACTGATTAATCTGTGATAAGGGGGATAATAATGTGGAAAGCAATTGAGGAAGCTAACCTCTATGTTAAAGTTTGGTACCTTCCAAAGTGCAATAGTTTGTGCAATACAATTAACATTGATTGTAGTTGCAATTTTTGTGATAGTAACAGACTGAATTTTGTATCTTGGATTCCTATGTATCAATCAATCAAAGCCTTAATTGCATAAGTGAGATTGACTGCATGTACTAAAAGTGATTATTCCGTATAGTCATCCACAAAA